TGTTTACCTCTGTCTACCTCTTCGGGGTTAAAAAGCGTGTTGTTATGTTATGATACTACTTGTCACGTGCTATAAAATTAACTGAAAAATTCATAAAATGATTTAAAAATCGTCTTAGAAATGACAATGTATAACATTTATACAAGACGTTGGTCTTGTGTACTGTGACCAGATACAACTACACTAAATACTAAATAGTTTTAACACAAAAGTATTTTAAGCAGCAATTTGAATTTGCGTGTCTATCGTTCATTAAATGGTAGACATAAATGGCATTCGCGAGTCTCTCAGCAACAGGGAGTATTACGGTGTTCAGTGCCTTTAATGCGAGACGTGATTTATTTACAGGATTCTTCAGTACAGAACGTTATAGTTCGTGTGTTCTTTAAATGAATGTCAATTTAAACAAATGGTGTGTTTAAACGATTTTAATGTGGATTTCGTCACAGTTTGGTTTCAATTATTTAGGTTATTTAATGTTTCTTGTCTTCAATAATTAATTACATACTTTACCATTACGTTATCGATTAAATATTAAGAAATTAACTTTTACATTCGTACAACGTAAATCACAAAATTATTTTAAATTGCCAAGGACTATAACCTAGACATAGTTATTTATTAACATCATCTATTCACGCACATGAACACTCCCCACAAACTGACCAACTCTGGTGATTACGAATAATCTCCCAGAGCCCACTTAAAGACGGTCAATACCCAAACCGTCTTCGACCTTTACGTATAGCCACATAAAACAGCCGTTCCCAATACCATTATTTTGGGAGCATTCGAAGCGTCTCCCATCTAAGAGAAAAGAAGTAAGTACATAGGCGAAACGTAGACACATTGGGTGCCGACTCAATAAGATAAATTACTCTGTTATCTAGTTATTTACGGATCTTATTTTCTAGTTTAGCTCTTGGCTTCGGGTAATATGTAGAAATGCTTACAGCGCCTTTTTATGTATGTATTCAGGTTTATTGACATTGAGGAATCGTTGGAGACAATATTTGTGATTACACTTATGTATTGTGTTTCGCACCGAGGATTGTTATACGTTGTGGTGTATTCTCAACGCTGTTTACATTCTACATAGATTCAATAAAGAGGTCTACTAATTTATTATTGTTTTTATTGTAGTTGATCTGTTATTGTGTTTGTAAGACGTAGATTTTATTTTCTTCTTTGGAACCGAGTTTCCAATACGGTGCTGTCGACTATAATACTAATGTCGAGTGCTGCTCTAGACTTCTAATGATTAGGAAGTAAAATATACAGTAAGATATAAATAGTGATGGAAAATATTGTATGACATGTGACATGTATTATTTCGTTTCATTTAAATAAGTTTCATACCTATTAAAATTCCATTGAAAACTTTTTTTTTATGGCATAAGCCGGTAAACGAGCAGACGGATCACCTGATGGTAAGCAATCGGCGTCGCCCATGGACACCTGGTACACCAAAGGCGTTACAAGTGCGTTACCGGCTTTTTGGGGATTAGGTGTTGGAGGATCGTTGGGGATTCAGGGATTGGGGAGATTGGGGAAGGGGAGGGTAATTGGGCCTCCGGTACCCTCACTCACACGACAAAACACAACGCAAGCGTAGTTTCACGTGGGTTTTCTGTGAGGCCGTGGTATCACTCCGGTCGAGCCGGCCCGATGATGACGAACCCCATGCCGAAGTTTGTTAATGTTAACAATTAATTGTCCAATGATTTTTCTTTTACCACGAAGAACAAGTTACAGTCAAAAAATCAATCTAATGACCATGTACTGATGACGATCAGCCAGTGAGGTCTAAATATAAAAGTAAACATGATAATATTTTGACCGCAGCGCATCTATTCAGTGGAATATTTGACATGAAAATGGTGTCCTTATCATGTGAAGGGTCGCCTGCCTTTGTATGTACAGCGATCGTTCTACTTGTAGAAATATGTGGGTAGCATGGAAATTCTTGTGATAAAGTTATTTTGGTCCTTGGAACGAAAATGTTGTTCGGTTTTTGTGTGCTATTTTTTCAGATCTCTCGTATATATTTTACACATATCTACATGAAATGATCAGAGTTTAAATGTATCAATATAACAATTACTACCTATAATTGAAATTTTAGCATTAACCCCTGGAATAGTAGGCAACATATATCTGCGTGAAACACAATGTATTTTTATTGTGTCTCATATAGGAATCAAAAGTGTCTGTCTATCCTATTTCAGTTAAATAACATCTGAAATAAATATTTCATTCCATATTGATATAATAAGACTTCTACATAAATGAAATAATTAATAACGGGAAATCACAAAAACTGGGGCTTCACGAACATTCACGAAATGATGCTATGATAGATGACCGGCGCGTCATAACAGCACCGGGAACGAACAGTGTTTTATTGAGGTTGGTTTCATGTACCTACTTTTACTATAAGTATTTAAGTTTTTTTTTTGTACAATCACAATTTACAATGTAAATTCGTTACGAGAATCAAACCTACGACACATTCCACATAGTAGGTAGGTCCTATTTCTCTCAGGGCAAAGAAGATATTACTCTGAAAAGATCTACTACGCAACCTAACATGAACAATCTACAAAAGACGGACGCTACGAAATGGTACGTGCTACGAGCGCTACGAACGCTACGACAGTGGCTACGTGCTACGATTCTAACCCAACCCTTTCGCATCTACGCTCGTAAATCTTTCTTTACTTACGTACGCGCCGCACCTGACCTTTTTTAAGGACATTACCATTGACCATATTTTGTATGCCCTTCTAGAGACTACTTTTTCCGTAGGTAGGTACTTCCATCAAGGTTTTATGTGTAAGCGAGATGATACGCACATATTTTATGAGAGCTGGATACTTTTTCATACTAATTAAGTATATAAAAGTATATGAAAAAATGCTGTTATAGTAACATCGTACCATGCTCGAATGTCGATTGTTTAATAAAATTATGCAAATCAAATTTTTATTTATTGCACTTTTCATAAAATTTTAATGGACTGACAGTTTTATATGTAAGAAGTTTTTATATACCAAACATCACCCCCTACAATCCATGGTATACATGCACAATTTACGCCACTTGTTTCTCACTGAATCCGTATAAAACATCCAGCGAGCAACATAAAAAATGGTGGAACGAGGACCCTGTCAATCAATGTCCTAAACAACGAATCCAATACAATCAATAAAGAACTTTGTTTTTCCGAACTACAATGTAGGTACAATAATATCATTTTATATGAAATGTTTGAAACATTTAAAGCCAGATATTTCACAAAGTTAGCCGTCCGATCCTTTATTACACACTAAAGCGCTTAATCCTCCAATCAATATTGAATTTCGAGTATCCGCAGGTGACAAATTAGGCGTGAAGCGGCTAAATAGAGGACGTTGACTAACTATTATACAAGTTTAGCTGATATACAGCCGTTTATATTGAACACTGGACTGACGTAATCGTAGTTTGGAAATAATTATTTATTTATAGGTTCGTTTGTTGAGGAAGTTGGACATATGACTTTATGTGTATTTTGGAAACTATTTTATCAATTGAAACATGCACAATTTTTAACTACAACGTTTTAATACCTATACTTATTATTTTTTTGATTTGATTGATGCTTTGTACGTATTGTTTTAGTTGATAATAATATTGACTTTGGCATTAACCCAGTAGCTCACTATTCCTGACATTATTTCAGTTTGTATCTTTATTGAAAAGCTAAATTATTAATTGACTGCTGAAAACCTTCGCCTTAGTTCTAGCTGTGAATGATTATACAGATTATAAGAAATTACATGAGGTGTACATATAATTGTAATTCACGTCAGGTCTCTAGAACTATCTTAAGTTACAAAGTACTAGCAATAAGTATGTACATTCGTACGTAATATGTACTCTACGCTTCAAGTACCACGCTCTCACTTTATTTTCTAAACTAAGTAATGGTAAGAGAACCTGAAACTCACGTCTACTATTCAAACGTGAAAAACTGTAAACTCTAGCTATAGTAAAATATTTCTGAAAATGTGTTAAAAATAATTATCTTGTTACCATTTACAAAATTTTGCTTTTTGGTTTTTCACAGAGCCATTTTCTCTATACATTATTATTTGTTTACGAAGTATAATTATGTGAAAACTTAATTCTACCAATATGCTGAGAAATTTGGTAGATGATCTAGTAACCAACGATTCAGGCAGTCTTTTTATGGGTTAAACCGGTAAACGAGCAGACGGATCACCTGATGGTAAGCAATCGACGTCTTCCGTAGACAGCCGGAACACCCAAGGTGTTACAAGTGCGTTACCGGCCTTACGAATTTTAGGTTTGTTGGAGGTTCAGGAATTGAGAAGATTGGGGAGAAGGGGTAATTGAGCCTCTGGTAACCTCACTCACACGACAAAACACAACGAATGCGTTGTTTCACGTCGGTGAAGCCGTGGTATCACTCGTACCGGCCCATTAGTGCCGAATCATGGTTCTCCCACAGTTAAAGTCTAGTAGTATAATGGTTTTAACAAAAAAACCTTTATAATATAAATACACCAATAAAGCACCAATCAGATAGTGTAATCTCTATCGCGCATACCGGTACCCCAGTGTTCATGCAACAAACCGCTGGCGGTTGTCACGGGCGGGTTAACTGGCGGCGGCGGGTTAACTGACTATAACTTGTGGAAGTAACCGACACGGGCCTTGATGACACCACAACCGTTTTATGCACACACAAATAAACGCTTTTATAACTTTTCCAGGCACAAATTACTGCTCTTTATTTTAGGAGAAAGTTTATTGAATAAAAACCTGCTGTTTTTTTTTTGTTGGTGAAAATATTATTGTTTAAGTAAGATAAATAAGTAAATATTAACTTTATTATTATGTGTTTGTACCAGGTCAAACTTCTTTATAATATTTCTATGTGAATTAATATCATGCATGTTAAAACAAAACGGTATAATACAAATAGCACTCACCGAAAAGACAGCGTCGTCAACGGCCGATACGACTTGTGGCTATTGTGGTCTGACATCGGAGTGCCCCAGAAGTCGTTCCTAAACACTTGGAGCACATGGTTACCACCATTCACGTCACTGTTGGACACGATCGCGGGGATGTCGTCATGCACGAACTCGCCACCTAAACTATTCGCGTACGTCAAAGCCCCGACAGACGCGACGAGTGTGTATACCACCCACTCACTCTCGCATAGTGTCCGCCACGACTTCGAGTTTGTCACTTCTTCGCGAACTGGCGGTAACGGACGCCGACGCATTTTTACACACCGTTTTTCACTTTTTTGTTTGTTTTATTTTAGTTTACATGTTGGGACACGTTTCAAATTCAAATGTTTGAACACGAACATTTTGTGAAACTGAATATAATATTTGAATCGAATTCGAGTTGGCTTTTTACTCGAATTTGAATAAAATATAAAACTAACAATGTAACTGTACACTAAACTGAATAGAGAGCGATAACACTTATAAAAACTTCGGAATACATTAACCCACTTTACTAACAAAAGCGTAATAAAACTCAAACAAACAAAGTCTCAACCGACAGAAAACCTCATCGATTCAATATATCGCTCCGAACTTCATGCATACTCAATTGGCAAACAATCTCAGTTGGATGCACAAAAGGTTGTTACGGACCGTTGTCGTATCGAGCAAAAGTGTGCCCTGTCTGTTTGTACGCTCAGTTATCCGTAGCCCGTGTGATGGATCACCGACGCCGCATAAATCAACATCGTGGGTCAGCTACGACCGCTGATGTCATATTCATGAGTGCTCTGGATAGCTGGGTAAACGATAGTCCGCCCAAGAACGATGAGCGACCCTCCTTTTTCCTTGTTTCGTTTTTTAATTCTTGCCTCACTTTGGGATGAATGCGTTCGTTTTTTATTTTAAATGCTCGTGATTTATGTGGCAGCGGGTGCACTGAAACCTGGAACAAAGGATGGATGTTATTTTTATTGTGGAGATTGCTCTTAGATGTAATGAGTAAAATAAAGAGAATGTGTTATTTTATGGAGCTCGAGGGAATACGGTTTTATGACGGTTTCTTTTAGTGAAACATTTACAGTAATATTTTTATTTGTATGAACTCTTGCTATAACTTGTTGAAGTGAAAAATATGATTATTTTCGGACATAAGGGTGTCAGGATAAACTCAGGTCAGGCACGCCTAAGCCGGGGCCACATCGCTCAAAATTCTATTAACTACCCCAAAATCCCGAAGGGGCCCAAATATTCTCCCGAAACTTACAACGACTTAGTTTGTGAAAACAAACTGAACTATCGCGTCATAACTTTGCTAAGAATGTTCGCGTATGTACCTCCTAGCGTCTCACTAATCTGAATTGCTAATGCTCCCCTTAATTCAGTTACGAGGCGCGAATTAAAAGCTCTGTGTGTTAATCACATTATGTTTGTTTGTATTTTTATCCTCAAGGCTATGCAATTGAATAAATTGCTTTGTTGCATACAGCTAATGAAAGTATTTTCTTATTGTGAGTTGAATATTATTTAGAGAAGAAAGACAGAGAATTGCGATTGGCATATAAGTTTTTTACAATTTTGTTTCAGTGTTCATGATTGTAAGGCCTCAATAGAATAAACATGTCATTATCACCAATGTAACAATACACAAATATACCATTACTAGAATACATTTCATGCAATGCAAATATCCATGTATAAAATATCTTGACGTTTGTTGTTGCAAACAATTGAAACTAATAGCAAGTCACTGAATACCGTCAACAGTTGCGGGCACACAACTCTTACGAATAACAACTAAGCACAAATATTCCAAACATTTGCACAAACAAGTGTCGACAAACGGCGAACATGGGTCATTAATCACGCCACAATTAGGGGCTCACCCCGTCGAACACGTTGGACAAATATTGGATTATATATGATTGATTGGCCCCAAGTTTTGTGGACACCCAACTAATAGAAGAACCAATCGATATGAATTGGAGTTTCGCTGGACTGTCATAGATTAATGACATGACGTATGGATTCGTGAAATGGATTTATATCGTGGGTACCCGCTGCTATTTACGGAATGACTCTGTAAATACTGCAACATTAATTTCAATTTCAAAGGAATGATAAATAAACAACAACATAAGTAGGATTACACAAAGTATAAAACATACAGAATAATAAATGTGTGTCATACTAAAAATGTAACGAACAAAATTTTAAATGTAAGTACATTATGTTCAGCATACAGCACTAAATAGCCTCGCTCCATATTTCACGTGCGCAAAATCTCGGCTTACTGAACCAAAAAACTTAAAGAATATTAATAGCTGATAACAAAATTTTTACCCCGTCCGAGCTCACAAAAACCCTCGCACATATTTCGCTCAAAAACTTAGTTAATTTATTATTCTGAGAAAGTTTGCCTTGTATCTGCTCAGTATTACACTCGCAAATTGTTTTTAAAATATCGCATATCAAGATAACGTTCAAGTTTTTGGAATTTTTCTTCGTCGGCCGAAGAAAAAAGTTTTGTCCCCAAAGACTTTGGTTCGGAATATACCGACAAAGTTAGCACGTCAGATGTCCGCGCCTGTACATGACTCACTGTGGTAACAGATTGACAAAATTACAAGTCTCGGAAGGATTGGAAACTCCAACAAAAAATACATTAACAGAATATTGAAGTCCTATGGAAAGCATAAGCAAGTCCTTACTCGCCTTGAATAGATCTAAAAATATAAAACTTTTCTAAACGAGCAGTTTGTCACAACAAAGCATAAAAGACAATTCTTTTTACATTTAAACAAACAATTCATTTCCAAGGTCTCGTTTAAAAGATTAATTTTCATTTTAAGTACCTCCAGCAAAATTGTTTGTACCATTCATTTGATGGAAGTAAATTAAACCGCGACACGATGAAGAACTAAGATCCATTGAGAATTCACCAATAAATATTTACGTCAGAGTTAACTACCATTGTACACTCGATCATAAAAAAAATCAACTCGCAAAGATTAAAGAAATTGAATTAAAGGAATTTCGTAAATGTATAATGATTGTAGTCAAAGGATGAATTATTAACTCCATCTTGCATATAGTCAAGAATTTCATACACCTACCTGTGTACTAAATTATACACATTAACATACATAGTTAATGTACCACCTGATGGAATACCACTCAGCGATGTGTAAGTGAAACACTTGTAGGATGTCACTTCAAATGAAGCAGAATGTACCACCTAAATAAGATATGTAGGGAAACGCCCTCTATATGACCTCGAACATCTTTAATGATGCTGTGGTTTTCCTCTATCTGTAGTGCATAGCTATTAGCTATTTATGATTTTTCCTATGTATAGAAAGATACTTGTCTAATTCAGATTTCGATGTAAGTTACATAGCAAAATAAACTTTATTTCAATTTGATTTCTTCTCAACTTTCGCGTTCCTAATCCCCAATGAATTGAAATAAGTTTCAATGAATACCCCTTTGATTATTCAAACAAAAACTCGTAACAAAATCACTCGGCCACCTCGGAACGAGTGTCTATCGACATCGAGGCCCCGCTCACAAGCTGTAGTAGCCTGAAACCGCAAGAGGCGAGTTAATCTTCCGGCGGGTGGTTCGTAATTCGATTAAAGTTGCCAACTCTTGCCCGACTCTTAATTATGTTTTTGGTGAATTCTCTCGCGGGCCAACGTCACGCAAACCTTTGTTGCCTATCGAATTTGTTTGAATAATGTCGTGGTAATAGATTTGTTCAAGCAGGTTCTCTGTTTATTTTGTTTTAAGGTTTCCGAGAAATTTAGCTCAGCGAGTTGTGATGTTCGGGTTATTTTAATCATGTTTCGACGGTTTACTTTCATCTTAAGGAAAATATAGGCTTTTGGATAGTAAACAGGTACATTACTGGGTAATAGAGCTTGAAGCAGTTACAGAACATCTAAGTACCAATCACCAGTTATGCGTTATTTATTACTAGCGACCCGCCCCGGCTTCGCACGGGTGCAATATTTATATACATACAAACCTTCCTTAAGAATCACTCTATCTATTAAAAAAACCGCATCAAAATCCGTTGAGTAGTTTTAAAGATCTAAGCATACATACGGACATACAGCGAAAGCGACTTTGTTTTATACTATGTATTGATATGGAATTTATTTGTTAACCTTTTGCAAAACCCCACTAGATTTGAATCCGAACAGCTAAATAAATTCTAAATGTAAAAACAAGGAACTTTTAATGAACACTAAACCAACTAGCCTTCTAGATAAAGCTTGAATAAAGCAACCGGCAATGTTTTAAGTATTCTCCCGTAAAAACAGTGCAAAAGGCATAAATCCCCGTAGAGAAAGAGTATCTGTATGCACAAACTTATAATTAGACCATTCCTGAACTCTAAGGTCTTCGTGGAAAATCCCGAAAGTCAAAAACCCTCATCCCTTTATTTATTCACAATGCAGTCCATTGTCGACGGCGAGCCTGTTACAGCCACTGTTACTATTAACTAAAGGAGTCTTAGCTTCGTAATCTCGAATGGAATTTGCGAGACTACATTAGCATTTCAAATCAACCTCTCGCCGTCTTTTAGAAGCCTATCTTTTCAACCTTACGGATTGTGTTACTCCGGAATTTACTTAACTATCTAACTTGTGTATTCCTTGTAGGATGCCTGCTAACAGCCGGTTCGTGTACGCTTTTTAAGATGTAGATTATAAAAGTTAATGAAGCACTCGGAGGTAGGTAAAGTCTGCATACTTAGTGTCTCTTTATCTAATCATGTTTACGAATTGAGTTACCTCACAGTACTGTAGGCGTAATTCGCTCTTGGCTGTACTACCCACGTAACACAGTGGAGTTGGAATAGAAAATCTGAATAGTTAATTTCTTTCTAGACAATTGTAAATCTTAAGTCCAATATTATTTCTATTTTAATGTTCATTGTGTGGCGTATATTTATTAGCACTATCATGAGTATAAATACAGTTATCTATCACAGAACTGTGTTCCCCGTTTTGTTTTCTGACCTCACAGAAACAAAGGGAGGATGAAGTTTACAGCGGCTTACACAAAGATAAAAGGGTAAACAAACTGATTCCATCTAATTACCTCATGTCTTCATTACTCTGCCGCTTATCAGCCTGCAATCTGAACGATCTGTCGTCAGCTATAAATGGCCGTGATAACACGGGGATCCTTTCAGATCTACTCCTATTCATCACTGGCCTCTCTCACGTTATAAATAATTTAAAACAAAGGCTCGCGACATTGATCGTTGTTTACGGCAAAGATCCTGATCTTAATGCGAATAAATTACTTGTTACAAAGATTTGTTCGAGCCCCTCACCCTTCCTGCTTGCTCTGTAACAGTATCTGGAACGCTGATCAATCAAGTGTTCAACTTAATAAGTTTATTAACGCCGAAAATTTGGACGGGTTTCTCTTCGTTAATCTAATATCTGATAATTTGTATCGAGTTATAAATGCGAGTAATCCCGTAGATAGAATCTGTTAATGTGTTAAAATATTGCTACAGTAATTTGGCATGCTCGAGTGTCTGTACGTAATTTGTGATTAATTATTTTTCACTTTTGGCTCGAATCTACATATTTTGTATTGCCTGCTGTCATATGTTGGAATAAATATGATGGGTTCAAATTGATATTCCAACCTGTCGACTCAAGGTTAGGAAGTTGTTCGTATATTTTGTTCTTGGCGAGACGAGTGTAATCAGAAAGCGGTGTCAACGTCAAAATTTCTTGACGGAGATAAACAGGACAGGTTATTTGCGTAATGCCACAACCACTCGCATCTCTTTGGGGATTCTGATGTACGTATAACTTGATAATGTTCTTGGGTTCTGAGAAGAGCATATACTCACAAAAGCGATTTCGTTTGAAATTAGTCTGCTTTGTGAACGAAGTATTATTACAATCTCGATGG